CAAGGTACATGGCCCAGCCTGGGAGAAATCTTGGAAACAGGAATTGGATCATTAAAAAGGATGTGGGAGGAATTTCTCTAAAGACTGAAAAGGAAGAATATAGAAATATGTAAGAAGTAAGAGAGCTGGTTGCCTTAGCGATTGGAGATGGCAGGGAGTCTCTTTCAAGGGGCTACAGCCTATCGTTAATCAGAACTGGGTGACTCTGACCCGGACTGCTAGATGACCTGCTATATAAGTGAATCAGTGGCAGGAGAAATTAATATTTTTAATATTTCTAGTTGGCATATATTTAACAAAATAAAAATATGCTTTGTCTGTACCACCCTACTTTTTAAAATTAGTTTGCATTCTCTCAAGAAAATAAGGGGAAATTTTCACATTGGTCCAGTGTCAGGAATAATTGTCATTCTAAAGTGGAAGCATTCACTTCACCAAACCATTAGCATGTAGATTTTTCAGATGTTCTCAATGAAATATTAAAAGTATATGCATCTGAATATTGTAGAAATGCACAGGGTGGTAGAAATTATTATTTATTACTGGTAAGAAAATAGAAAAGTTGTAGGCATTTTTCTTTAAAAGGAAGAACTGTACATGTATACAATATGTAATCATATCAGTCACAGAATCCTTAATTTTGCATTTGTTGTAACTCCAGCTTTCACACAGAAAAATTGTGTGTGCATGTGTGCACATGTTCAAATAAAAGAATCCCTTCGAGGCACAATGTTGTTATGTATCTAGATATTCTCTTTTCCAGTTCTACCCCTCCCCCACCACCCCCTCCCGTCCTGTAAATTGGCTTATTAAAACTGGTTCACAAGCCCTTCTTTTTCCCTTTGTGATTGCCTTGGTCTTGGATTTTCAGTGTAGAACTAAAAATTCAAGTCAGATTTCAGTTACTAGGATAATTTTCTTTGAATTTTAAATTTTTCTAAGTAAATGCATAGATTTTTAATGAACCTGGTATTCAGTGGATTTGCTTTAAATTTAGCTAGAGAGTTAATTTCATGATTGATTTATTAGCCCTTGCAAGTATAAAAAGTGGTATCTGTAGTTCACGAAGACTGAAAAACATCATCACATTTTGTTTAGCATCTTTTTAAAACCAATTAAAAGCTTTTCTAAAATGGATTGAACAGGAGAAAATAAAACATGTTCCCTAGGTCTTTATTTCAATCAAGTTTCCCTGTGTTCTGCAGGAGAAGAGATCGAGGGGGGATAGAAAAATTGAAAAGGGCTGTCCCAGCAGGGAGCCAAGCCGGAGAAAAGGGCTTCTCTGAGAACTCAGCAGCAGCAGCTAAGAAAGCTCCCAGCCTGCTTCATCTACATGCAGAGTCACACAAGGCATGGGGGTGCTCACCGTCACACAGAGGTTTCACATGTGCTTCCCTGCTGATTCCTGTGAAAAGCTAACAATTGGCTTGGAGGGTAAAAGACCACTGCAGTTCACCCTCCCTGAGCTGGACGTACAATTTGTCCAGTGTTAGGAAATGTCCGGCTTAGCAGTGAGAGGCTTGAAGACACCCCTCCTTCCAGTGAGATTCCTAAAGCCGTCTCTTTTACTTGATGACACTGGGGCTCTTTTCAAGTTTTGCAGATTTATGGAAGTTGAGGAGGGGAATGTGCTTTTTAAGATCAGGAGGATGAAAGTCTTCATCTTAATGTCAAGGAGGAAGCAGTAGTAAGTGGTTAAGGCCAGGTAACTGCCTGCAGCCTACAGCACCAGTGCTTGATTATTTGCCTCAGAGATCTCTTCTGCTACCTTCTTTTTTTTTTTTTTTTCCTTCCTTTTTGGGAGACAAAATGAAATGTCTGAAAGGGAACTCCTAGGCTGCAAAATGACATGACTTCCCAGTTTCCTCAACAAGTGTGAGAGTAGTTAGCTCATTTACTTGATTGTTTAATACTGGGTTTACTTGACACTTTTGGGAAGTAAATTGGGAGACCTCATCTGAATGTAATGGAATAGCCTTATAATTTATGGAGAATCAATACTTTTTCAGTTCGGTTCTTCCCAATATTTTTAGATCATTGCACACAGAAAAATGGTAACATCTGATGATACATCTGGGTAAGCGGATGAGGCCACTCACAGCT